TCTGCATAGTTCATTTCAAGCATTACACCAGTATATTAACTTTGTAAATTTTGAATGTTTGCTATTATATATATTCTAATATATATATGTATATCCGTCTCCATTACTAATTGCATTAATTACTAAATCGGCAATATCAATATATGGATTATCTTGTTTAGTAATAGTAACTTCAGCTGATGAAATATATTCATAAATAGAATTTAGATCAATGTTAAATTGAAGCTGAAAATAGAACTGTCCTTTGAGATTATCATTCAGGTTTTTATATTCTAAAAGCGTATCATAAATATAATCTGCAACATTATTGAGTATATATAATGCAAAATTAATACGTAGCATAGTGATAGTGTATGTAATAGTCTCCGAGGTCATGTAAAGATCGGAAGATTACCTGACTGCGCCATCAATTGTTGGTAATGCTGGATTTGCTATAAATAATTTACTTAAATTGTGTAAAATTAAATCTGTTATTCTGATTTGTCAATAAATTTATAAGAAGTTATTAAGTAAAGATATCTTCAAGCTTTAAGTAAAGTTGTAGAGAAGATAATTCTGAGTTAAACGGTAGTTAGATCATCAAAATCGGCCCAGTGGTTCTTGAGATATCTTGGGTTAAAGGCGCGAATATAAGAATCAGCAAAGTCACTATTATACAAAGTATTGATTTTGTTAATCCTTATATTTGGATCTTTAATACTACATATCTCAATAACTACTAGTCCGATTTTGATTATCTAACCACCATTTGACTCAGAATTATCTCCTCTACAACTTTACTTAGAGCTTGAAGATAACTTTACTTAATAACTTCTTATATAAACGTAAAGAAACTATAATTGGACCTATTTCAGATTTAATATAATCTACTTTGGAATCAAAATATACAAAAAGTAATTTTTTTGTAATTATTTTGACAATCAGCAGTCCAATCTGGATGAATTTTTTTTTAAATAAAAGCTCTCAGTAAGGCACATTCAATAAAAAAAAGTTTATTTAATTCTAATTACTAGATTCTAAAATATTTAAGAGAAGTGTGGTGACTTAATGCAGTGGTTTAGTCGTCACCCTCTCCAAGTGGCAGGTCTAGAGTTCAAATCTCATGGACGACGATTTTCAAAAATTAGGCTTGTGTTCGGTTAACGGCTATACTTATTGGTTGGATCTAATCTGTAACTTCGGTCACACCATCTAGAAATGGGAGCTTTGGCGCAATAAACCCGAGGAACCGGCATAACCAAAAACTCATTTGGCAAGTCCCGAATTTGGAAGTAGCAGTGATCTTTGATGGTACTATAGGAGGGCTGAATTCGAACTGGGGCCTGAGATCGGAGAACCAAATGACCAGGTCCGCTAGCAGAGGACATACTAGCTGAACTGCCGGGTTGTTGCATCGGAGGAAAAGGGCATATGCTCCGAAAGTATGGACCAAGGGGAGGTTCTGTTTGTATTAATTTTCACCCTAAAATATTAATTAAAATAAATAAGATTATTACACTTTAATAATTGCAAATAAGATTTGTACTTACTTTTAAAAATTCATACTTTAAATTTTAGCTTTAAACCTATCAGTTATATATATAGATTAGCTATTTTAGAAACTCAATCTAATTTATCATATTCACTATTTATCAATTTTTAGAGACTTTTCTGCTTTGTATACACCATCACTATTATGTAATTATTATCTTTTAGATTTTTAGTTATTCTATAAATTATAATTATTGAATTGCCCATGTTTGTGTTGATTTTTTAACCTAAAATATTAATTAAAATAAATAATAGTTGTTTTAGTATTGAAATAAAGCTCATTACATATATACATACATATTTAATTCACAGAAAAATTACTTAATAATGGTTATATTACTAAGTTCAATTAGTATGTAGAATCATATAATATCGACTTATTATAGTCTTTTATAGTCTAACACTACTTCAATGGAACCCAATGTTGCTGCAAGTAGAGCCAATAGATACTACTTTACAGAAACTTGAAATTCCTTAATGTATAGCTATGACATAGTACTTATATAGTTGTATTAAATTCAATAGCAACTATATAATTACTATATAGTTACTATGTCGTAGCTATGTCTTAAGGAATTTAGGTTTCTGCTAAGTAGTTTTTTAAGCTCAAAAAATTAATCTATTAATATTTCTTCAAAGCCTATTGCCTCAATATGTGTCATATTTTCATATAATAACATGTATATTAATGTAAATTAACAATTATGATTAGCCTTTAACTCAAAACAGTACACATGCATATACTTGAAATAATATATCTATATGTGCTTAAATAATATACAAGTAGGTGTTATTATGTGAAAATACAATACATAGTATGCATATATATATTCTAAAACTAGCTCTAGACAATGTATTAATTATAAATATATGTTTAATCAAATTATATTTTCTTTAATTTTTCAATACATATACATATCTCAACAAATTATAAATTAAATACAAAAAATAAAATAAAATAAAAATGCCAAAGACAAATAAATGCACAAGTCAATCTTAACAAGCTGCTGCCACAAATAGAAAAATAAATCATTGACTAATACTGCTTTCAGCAAATATTATAAACCTATAGCACTTAATCCTATTAACAAAAATTGGCCTACAGTATCAAAACTTGCTTTTTTATTGAATAAGACTCTTGATACTAGTGTTAATAATAGTAATTCTAAATTATCATCACTCGACACACAATTGAAAACAAAAACTATCAATATAGATCTCAATACAACAAGACAATTTCTTTATTTTGTGAATCAAGGATATATAAAGATGAAAGCAAGTGAACTTCTAGCTAAGAGTTTGGGTAAAGGCCCATGGCATGCTTGGTGTATTTGTACTTGAGCAAATCAATGAAAAAATAACAAAGAATTAATAAAGTCAAAACGTGGTTAATATATAAAAACAAAATCTTTGATATATAATATAAATTTTTAATATCAAATAAATTAATATTTGGAGAAAAATAAATTTAAATTATTTATTCCAATTTTATAAATTATATTAGCCATATTATGCCTGCTTTTGGAGTTATAAGCAAATCTATTAGCAGGTCAACTGCATATAAATGGCTAAAATTGCTTGGATAGAAATACCAAACCCATACAAAAAATATTTATCTTGATAATTATAAACATGAAGATGTAGTAAAGTACAGAACTGATTTTTTGCAGGAAATAGCTAGGTTACAAAGATATAGTAGGAATCATAAGTATCCCACCCCCTCTAACTTTTTAAATAGAAAAGCTACAACTTTAAAATTTTTACAATTAATAGTATTAAATAAATATAAATCATTAGCAAATTTTTATAGTTTTTTAATTACTACAACAAAAGTTAAATGAGAGCTAAATTTTTGGCCAATTTAGATACTAAAAACTAATTGAATTTAATTAAAAATTTATAAAAAATTAGAATTAAATCCAAAAGCTTTAAAAATTAACAAAATTAATCTTCAAGCATTTTCATAGTATTGACAAAAAATTTGAATTAATTTAATAAAAAAGTTATTGAGAAATTAATTTTTAAAGTAATATTACCATTTTTGGAAATCAGAAGTGTTGTGTAACTTTGAATTTACTTAGTAAAAACATAGTAATTTTAATGTTTTTATTAAAAATTTTAAAGTAACTTTAAAAATTAATTTTTCAACAACTATCTCATTAAATTGACTCAAATTTTTTTTTAGTATTATAAAAAGGTTTGAAGTTTAATATAATAATTTCTTTATAATTTTTAAATTTAAATTTATATTTTTATTAATTTTTAATTAAGGGTTTTTCTATATATCTCTGGCCTATTAGCCAATGAAAATGGCGAAAAGTCACGTGACCCATTTTCCGACTCAACCGCACGATTA